AAAAAAAAAAAAAAAAACAGGTACTTTTATTTAAATCACTACAAAGTCCTATTAAAACGTACATCCTGGGCTTTGTTGCACATTGAAATGTGAGAAATTGAGGTCATAGCGTGATCTTTCTCATAGCTGACTCTCTGCATGAGAATGTGTGTATGATCCTCCCCCTCACCTGTGGCCAGGATATCACGCAGCAGCACCTCTGCGACCCGCTGACGGTGTCCCTGATTGAGAAGTGCACCCGATTTCACATCCACTGTGCCCACTTCATGTGTGAGGAGCCTATGTCTTCTTTTGATGCCAAGATCAATAATGAGAACCTGACCAAGTGCCTGCAGAGCCTGAAGGAAATGTACCAGGACCTGAGAAACAAGGGCGTCTTCTGTGCCAGCGAAGCGGAGTTCCAGGGCTACAATGTTCTGCTCAGTCTCAACAAGGGAGACATTCTAAGGTGAATTTCCACATCCAAATTTGTCTGCAAAGGGAGGCTTTAAGCAGGAGAAGAGCTTTCAGGATTGGCAGTAGCGTTAGTGCTGCGTTCTCTCTGGTAGCAGGTGTTGGGATGATAGGAGGAGTCTTGCTTTTGCTGTGCAGTCTGCTGAGCTGAGCTGGGGGAAGAGCGATGGGGTTGTGCACGGGACCAGCATACCTGATGTAGGCCCCACATGCTCGCTTCTGAGAACTGTTTCTCCTCACCAGTGAGAGACATGAGGAAGGAATCCTCCTAGTGAGACAGGTGAGTGAACCAGGAGAGGGAGTTCTAGCTGCCCTGCAGGGTTGTTAGCTCCCTGTTTCCAAATAGTTCTGTCAAAGATCCAAATAAGAAGAGAGGAAAAAAATTGTGTGAAACAAAAATGCTAAGAATGGGGTAGTAAGAATGAATGAATTTAAAACCCTGGTCTGACCCGTCATTGAGAAGTCTGGCAAGCTCTCTGGCCCCTGCTTGTGGTGGTGGTTTTATTTTTAATTTTTTTTTTTTTGAGATGGAGTTTCACTCTTATTGCCCAGGTTGGAGTGCAGTTTCACCTCACCAAAACCTCTGCCTCCCAGTTTCAAGTGATTCTCCTGCCTCAGCCTCCTGAGTAGCTGGGATTATAGGCATGCACCACCATGCCCACTAATTTTTGTATTTTTAGTAGAGACAGGGTTTCTCCACATTGGTCAGGCTGGTCTCGAACTTCTGACTTCAAGTGATCCACCTGCCTTGGCCTCCCAAAGTGCTGGGATTACAGACATGAGCCATGTTTTTTTTTTTAAATAGTTGTTTTTTAAATATTTATTTATTTATTTTGGAGGCAGGATTTTATTCTTTCACCTAGGCTGGAGAGCAGTGGTGCAATCATGGCTCACTGTAGCCTCAACTTCCCAGGCTCAGGTGATCCTCCCGCTCAGCTTACTGAGTAGCTAGGATTACAGGCGTGGTCCACCATGCCCAGTTATTGTTTTCTTTTTTTGTAGCAATGGGGTCTTGCTGTGTTGCCCAGGCTGGTCTTGAACACCTAAGCTCAAGTGATACACCTGCCTCTGCCTCCCAAAATGCTGAAATTACAGGCATGAGCCACCACATCCGGCTTTTTTCTTTTTATAATCATTCTTACCCTTTTCTATGCTTATGTTTTGCACATTCGGGATTATATTCTAGATATAATTTTATGTGTATCTTTCTCACTTAAAATTATGTCATGAACATTCTCCTTTGTTATGCTGAACTATGAGCATGTAGAAATGACAGCATATTTTATTAGTAGCTCTGTCAAAACTCTGCACTTTTACCATTAGTAGATAGGCTGTTTCTAAATTTTTAGTTCTTTTAAAATATGGTTTGGTGTCTTTCGTGTCATGTTTCTCTGGTGTTTAGATTACTTTGTTCGGATCCTAAGAATCAAATTACTGCATTGGAGGGTTTGACCTTTCCCAAACATTATCCGTGTATCTTCCCCAGCTGTTTTCCCAGGAAGCTGCACCAATTTAAATCCTTTGCACTTTGCGAATTTTGCTTGTGGGCTTCTCCTCCTCTTTCTGGCTGGTGGCTTTATACACCCTTCACCCGGTGCGGTGTCCCCAGACCAGCAGCAGGTGTGTGTGGGACCCCTGCTGCAGGAGAGAGCACGTGCTCCGGGCCTCGTCCTGCAGATGTTTCTGCGTCTTCTCTTGGCCATGTCATCAGCCTCCTTTTGAGGCGGGTGATGCAGCTCCAGGCCCCAGGTGGACAGCTGGCCCCTGCTGCTATGCCCTCAGCAGTCCTCACTGCCTGTCTCTGTTTCACTTCTGGTCTGTGTAGACTTCAGCTGGGGTGTGAGCAGAGCTGAGACCTGTTAAATGCTTTGAGGCCCTTCCCTGTCCCGTCTCTGCTTCAGAGCTTGCAGATGTGCCTTCACATACATTCCTCCTGTTTGTCATGACGCACTCGTGTCTCAACTCCTTGTGTTTGCCACATCAAATTTCTCAATTTATTTTGCCTTTGAATTTTGTTACTTTTTAACAGAAATTTTATGTTGAAAAAAATGTGTTCTCAAATATTAATCTTTGTGGGTGTATATGTGATTTTCCCTCATTTTCAGGCATAACTGTGCCTGGCCCAAGGTGTTTCTCACGGGCAGCCCATCTCTACTTCATGTCCCTAGGTGGACCACGCAGCAGCCGTGAAAGAGTACAGCCGGTCCTCAGCTGATCAGGAGGAGCCTCTGCCCCACGAGCTGCGGCCCTTGGCAGTGCTCAGCAGGACTATGGATTACCTGGTGACCCAGATCATGGACCAGAAGGAGGGCAGCCTGAGGGACTGGTACGACTTCGTGTGGAACCGCACACGTGGCATACGGAAGGTATTGGCTGCTTCCAACCTGGACGCTAAAAAATGCATGCAAATTCCAAAGTCAAACTGATAGTTATTTTTATTTTACTCAGTTACGTATTTTACCTGTAACAAAAATGTACCTTCATGGGCAGGGCGCAGTGGCTCACACCTCTGTAATCCCAGCACTCTAGGAGGCCGAGGTGGGTGGATCACCTGAGGTCAGAAGTTTGAGACCAGCCTGGCCAACATGGTGAATCCCAGTCTCTACTGAAAATAAAAAAATTAGCTGGGTGTGGCTAGGTATGGTGGCTCATGCCTGTAATCCCAGCACTTTGGAAGGCCATGGTGGGCAGTTCATGAGGTCAGGAGTTCGAGACCAGCCTGGCCAACACAGTGAAAACCTATCTCTACTAAAAATTAGACATGTGTGGTGGCAGGCGCCTGCAATCCCAGCTGCTCAGGAGGCTGAAGCAGGAGAATCACTTGAACCTGGGAGGTGGAGGTTGCAGTGAGCTGAGGTTGTGCCATTGTACTGCAGCCTGGATGACAGAGCTAGACTCTGTCAAAAAAAAAAAAAAGAAATTAGCTGGGCATGGTGGCACACACCTATAAAGTCCCAGCTACTCAAGAGGCTGAGCCAGGAGAATTGCTTGAATCCAGGAGGGGGAGGTTGTGGTGAGCCAAGACCGCACGCACCACTGTACTCCAGCCTGGGTGACAGAGCGAGACCCTGTCTCAAAAAAAAAAAAAAAAAAACAGGTACTTTTATTTAAATCACTACAAAGTCCTATTAAAACGTACATCCTGGGCTTTGTTGCACATTGAAATGTGAGAAATTGAGGTCATAGCGTGATCTTTCTCATAGCTGACTCTCTGCATGAGAATGTGTGTATGATCCTCCCCCTCACCTGTGGCCAGGATATCACGCAGCAGCACCTCTGCGACCCGCTGACGGTGTCCCTGATTGAGAAGTGCACCCGATTTCACATCCACTGTGCCCACTTCATGTGTGAGGAGCCTATGTCTTCTTTTGATGCCAAGATCAATAATGAGAACCTGACCAAGTGCCTGCAGAGCCTGAAGGAAATGTACCAGGACCTGAGAAACAAGGGCGTCTTCTGTGCCAGCGAAGCGGAGTTCCAGGGCTACAATGTTCTGCTCAGTCTCAACAAGGGAGACATTCTAAGGTGAATTTCCACATCCAAATTTGTCTGCAAAGGGAGGCTTTAAGCAGGAGAAGAGCTTTCAGGATTGGCAGTAGCGTTAGTGCTGCGTTCTCTCTGGTAGCAGGTGTTGGGATGATAGGAGGAGTCTTGCTTTTGCTGTGCAGTCTGCTGAGCTGAGCTGGGGGAAGAGCGATGGGGTTGTGCACGGGACCAGCATACCTGATGTAGGCCCCACATGCTCGCTTCTGAGAACTGTTTCTCCTCACCAGTGAGAGACATGAGGAAGGAATCCTCCTAGTGAGACAGGTGAGTGAACCAGGAGAGGGAGTTCTAGCTGCCCTGCAGGGTTGTTAGCTCCCTGTTTCCAAATAGTTCTGTCAAAGATCCAAATAAGAAGAGAGGAAAAAAATTGTGTGAAACAAAAATGCTAAGAATGGGGTAGTAAGAATGAATGAATTTAAAACCCTGGTCTGACCCGTCATTGAGAAGTCTGGCAAGCTCTCTGGCCCCTGCTTGTGGTGGTGGTTTTATTTTTAATTTTTTTTTTTTTTTTTTTTGAGATGGAGTCTCGTTCTGTAGCCCAGGCTAGAGTGCGGTGGTGCTATCTTGGCTCACTGCAACCTCCGCCTCCCAGGTCCTGGTTCAAGCAGTTCTCCTGCCTCAGCCTCTCCCGAGTAGCTGAGATTATAGGCACGAGCCACCATGCCCAGCTAATTTTTGTATTTTGTTGTAGACACGGGGTTTCACCATGTTGGTCAGGCTGGTCTTGAACTCCTGACCTCGTGATCTGCCCACTCAGCCTCCCAAAGTGCTAAGATGACAGCCATGAGCCACCGTGCCCAGCTGTGGTGTTGTTGAGTGGGACTTGATGGTGGGCAGTGTCCCCTTTAGTTCTAAAATTCCCCTATTGATGCTAAAACCAATATTTTAGCTTTGTATTTTCTTCAAGAACTGTGTGGAAGAATATCTAGATGTGTGAATGATTTTAAATTTTTATTTTATTTTTGACACTGAGTCCTGCTCTTTTGGTTAGGCTAGATTTCGGCTCACTGCAACCTCTGCCTCCCAGGTTCAAGCGATTCTCTTGCCTCAGCCTTCTGAGTAGCGGGGATTACAGGCGTACAACACTATGCCTGGCTAATTTTTTTGTATTCTTACTAGAGATGGGGTTTTGCCATGTTGGCCAGGATGGTCTGGAACTCCTGACCTCAGGCGATCCGTCCACCTCAGCCTCCCAAAGTGTTAGGATTACAGGCATGCGCCACCATGCCCTGCTAATTTTAAATGTTAAAATTAAGCCTTGTATAGCCTGGGCAACATAGTGAGACCCTATTCTACAAAAAAAA